AGGCTTTTTATTTTATTTATTTTTGTGATGTGAATTGCTACAGCTCTGCTGCTGCCCATCCAACCCTCCCCGCCCCAGGGCTAAGCCCCAGCTCCCACGCTGCTGGGGACAGGCCAGCCAGGGAACAGAGACGCAATGCCACCACCCGCTGAGCCGACACGCTGCTGGGGCGCTCAGGGCCAGCCCCACACAAGGCACAAGGTCACTGTTGCTTTTTGGTGCAATCTGGGGGACCGGAACCCCCACGCTCTGGCTGGGGAATTGATCAGGCAGCAGAGCTGTTACAGCCAAACTCTGCTACTCAGACGTTTCTTTGTTTTCTCCCCACAGGACAAACCACGGCTAATACATAGCCCCAGGCAGCAGGACGTGGCCTGAGCCATGCCTGCTCTTCTGGATTCTGACCTACACAGAAAACCAAGTGTGGTACAGTTATGCAGCCCAAAAAACAAAGAAAAGGGAGAGAGGTGGCCAGGCTCAAGGCTAATAGGCATCACAGCCCTCCCCAGGCTGCTGCCTTCACATCCACGTACGTTGTGGCACGGGGACATAGGGAGCTGAGCACCACCCCTGGGGCTGAGCCCAGCTGCAGCTGGGACCAGCACAGCTGATGCTACATAGAGTTGGCTGAAGGTGCAAACTGTGCACATGGAGGGAATGAAGGGCACTGCAATACCAGGGCGCTTGCTTTTCACCATCCCAGACCACAGCAGCACCAGAAATGTGTGGCTGCAAGAAGCAGGGGGCTAACCAGGTTGATTGAGCGGTGTCCTCAACCTACAAAGCTACATGACAGCTCGTGCCTGCTGCCAGCAAGTGCAGCTGCCCTGTCCCCCAAGGAGACTGCTTCCATACTCAGGGGGACTACATCTGTCCAGTGCACGAGAGGACCCGAAGTGGGCAGAGCTTCTCCAGCACAGGCCATGGAGGAGAGCACAGTTCAGCCTTCGCTTCAAGCAGCTGCTCCCGTAATCTGCTCAGCCCGATGAACACCTAACAGTTCACAGACTCGCCAGGCACAGAAAGTCCCATTTCTCCATGTTCAGTGTATGGAGGGGTCACTGGCTCCTGCAAGGTGACCCACTGAGGTAAGGATGAGAGGTTTGCTGTGGAAAGCACATCCCTGCAGTTACAGTGGGGTGACGGACAACAGGGCTTTGGAGGCAGTTGAGGGATTGTTAAGTTACACACACACACACTCACACACAGATACACACAAGTTCTTCTGTAAACCAGACTCCAGAAGATCCCACAGATCCTCAGCTGATCCCACAGCCAGCGCTGGATGTGGCATCCTTACATGTTCCCACGGTATGTGATGTTGGTGAAGGTAGACGTAGCCTCTTTATATAAAGGGTTGTGGCCCTGGAAAAAGAGCATCATCACTTTGTGCTTGGCATCAGCATTCATTCTACTTTACAGCTGGGGAAACTGAGGCACGATTCCAGCATTGAGTGGTGGATCCATGTCTCCACTCAAGGCTTTGGCTGTGCAGTTTAACAGCTCCCCATAAAGTTTCATGGGGGAGGGCAGAGAAAAGCTGCTGTGGAGGAGAGGAAAGGCAGTAGGAGCTCAGGAGCAGAGGCCCCCTGAAAGAGCCACCCCATTCCTTTCCTCTGGGGAGGTGGAGGAGAGATGGGGGACAGGCATCAGTGCTGTCCCAACCCCCCTCCCTCATACTCCGGATGCCTCAGACCTTCCAGCATCCCGTGGCAGGAGGGACCTTCTGCCTCACTCACGGGATGGAAACACTGGTGTAGACAGTGAGTAAGAGGGTCACACTGGTGACAAGTGCTTGTGATATGCTAGAGGTGGGAAAAGCATCTGGGACATCTGCTATTGCCTGTGCACAGCACCTGGGACTGCAGCAGTCTCGGGGAGGGGGTGTCCAGGCTGGCAGTGTCATCCCGAGTCCTGCCTGTGACACACTGCCGTGCTTCAGAGAGGGGTGGGACAAGCTGGTCCCTAAGGACCATGACCTGGGACTACAGACAGCAACTGGGCTGTTGTGCTGGGAGCGCTGGGATCTGGATCCACTCAGCCCAGGGGCTGTGGGATTCAGGGATTCCTGCCTAGCACACCCAATCCGCTGGCCCTCACCGTGTCCCACTTGGCCCTGGCCTTCTCCTCCTCGAAGCGGGCAAACTCCCGGCGGTCATGGATGGTGATGAGGAGCTTCCAGATGAGCAGGGCAGCAAGGCCAATGAGCAGGATGGCACCTGTCACTGACAGCAGGACCACCAGGATGTCCGGCCCCTTTGGGCAGTCTGGAGGGAGAAAGGCAGGGTTGGGGGGGCTTAGCTCCCACAGGAAAATTAAAAGCAGCTTTGGGGCTGCCTGGCCATGGGTACATGGAGCTCCTCTGGTCTTGGGAGGGCTTCATCCTCCCCAGTTAGGAAGCAGGAGCCTCCACCCTTGAGCACAGCAGGCTCTATAAAGGAGGACCCCATCCATGGGGTGCCTGTGCTGAGATCCTCAAGCTCCTGTCCGTAGGGCAGGGGTCTGCACCCAAGCCTAGAGCAGTCCAGATCAGGGGCATCGCAGGTCCCATCCATGGTGGGTGATGACATCAGAGACCAAGTCCTTAGGCTGGTGGAAGTTCATCCCCAAGCCACCAGCCTGGCTGACACCCCACAGCACTCCCACTCTCTGGCTGTGTGTCAACACCATGCCAGCAAACCCGGGGCAGTGAGATCTGGTGTGAATCCCAGCACCCACCCTGCTCCCCCACACGCTCCCCAGGGCCATGCGGCCACCCTCGCCTGCCTCTCCCCTCCAGAGGTGGGGTGGGGAGGCGGGCTGCAGCCCTGCTGATGGCAGGCAGTTCTAAAGAGAGAAAGCAGCTGCCCTCATGGCCCTGCTTTCGAAGAATCTGTGGCCATGCAGCCCCTGGCTCAGCTGGAAGTTAGACCCTGAAGTTGCTGGAGACCCCAGGGCTGCTCTGCATGGTGGGGGGCTGCCATATCCCAGCCCTGAGCTGCAACCATAGCATTGCTACTGCCTGGCTAACAGGAGCCAGCTTTTATCTGCTTCTCAAGAAAAGTCACACCCATAGAGTCAGAGACAGGATCAGGGCAGTGGGAAGGTTGAGCCCCCATCCTTGGCCTCAACATGGGGGGTGAAATAACGGCAACGCAGTGGGGAAACGTGAGACAGGCAGGAAATCGCCACGCAGGGAACAAAGCAGCTCTAATCCCTCTCAGCCCCTGACCACGGTGCCCCGTGAACCTGGTGGCAGTGAGAGTTACAAAAGGGGCAAAATCCCCCCGTTTAGCATAGAAACCCATCGTGGCACGCTCTGCGCCCACCCAGCCCAACTGCAGCAGCTGGGTCTTACCTCGGTCCTCAATAACATAGAGGATGGACTTGCCACTGGAGTCCTCATAGTACTGGAACCGCACAACGCAGTCGTCCTCGTCCTTGTAGGTACAGTTCACGGCATCCTTGCCCCTGTCACCTGCCAGAGAGAGAGGCTCAGAGCCCCCTGTGCCAGGGGGATCCACACGTGGAGGGAAACCAAACAGCGTACATGGCCCACTAGATTTCCACATTTAGGGCAAGGGTTTGAGTTTCTTACCCAGTTCCTGCACCATCTCGATCTCATCGCGGCACATGCGGCTGCAGGTCTGCTGCTCCACCAGCACTCCTCGCTCAAACTTTTTGCACTCCACGCACTCCCTGAGGAAGAGGAGGGAGGTACCGTGAGCTCCTCCATGCTCTCCCCAGGGGACCGTCACACCTTTCCTTCTCAGACTGCAGAAATTGCTGAAATTCCAACCCAACCAGGCTCCAGCTGGTGAGAGCTCCCGCCGCCACTGCGGCCAGCTCCCTGATGGGATATGACCCATCCCAGCTCTCTGCCAGCTCCCAGATAGGGTACGACCCGTCCCAGCTCTCTGCCCTCTCTCACTTTTTGATGGTGCAGGCATCCGGGCACGTGGGACACTTCTCGCAGGTGTCGCCGTAGGAGCCAGGCTGCGTACAGTCACACTTGCCGCAGACGCAGGAGCCGTGGCCGCTGCACACCAGCCCGTTGCTGGACATGCATGTGTCAGTGCGGGTGGTGCAGTTGCAGTAGTCACCGGTCCAGTCTGAGTCGCACAGACAGTCCCCACAGCTGCACTGCCCGTGGCCTGGGGACAACCCAGAGGGTATCAGGACCCTCAAGTGTCCCCATAGATCCCATATCACCCATATGGGATGCCCATGTACCCGGAGTGGCAGCTCCACCTCCATGGGCACAGCAAAGCAGACCAGCCGCCCAGGACAACCCCATTCCACTGCCCTTGGGGTGGGACACACAGCAGCTCACATGAAACTTCAGCCTTTCTCATGTTCCCAACACTCCTGTTATTCCCCCTTATTCAAGAAAAAAAATGCTAAGTCTCAGGCTAAGCTGCCCCAGCTGTGGCAGGTTGGCAGAAGCAGCTGGAGATGCTCAATCAGATCCATCTCTGAGCTAGTCAAGCTTTGGCTTTTAATTTCAGATTGAGTCAGGACATCTGGTCAAAACCCCCAAATCCCACTCACTTCCCAGCCCCAGACTGGGTAGAGGAAGCTGATTGCCGGGAAAAACCCAACAAGCTCTGCATGCTTGCCGAAACTGGTTTAATCAGACAGACAGATATGCTCAGATCCTGCCAAAGCCTGGAGCTATTTGGATTGTGGTTTGATTTCGGCTCAGAGATAAGGCACAGTAAGCAGTGGAAACACCATGGAGCTGACACATGCTGACCCGTCCCAAGCCCTGAGCACACCAGGGCACATTGGGAATGCTGCTCCTGCTGAGGGTTCAACTGGGCACCATCCCCACCGTGGTCTTGGAGGCACTGGCATGAGAAATAAATGCGTAACCCCATTAATGAGGAACTAGGGCTGAATCACATGAAAATAGTGCCACACTGGGTGACAAGGCATGGAAACAGACAGGGAGGCTGGGGAGAAGTGGCTCAGTGGGACAGGATTGATTCCAATAGGGTCAGACAGGTTAATTAACAGCTTACCCAGGCTGGAGGCAGTGCTTCATCATCACCCTTTGCCAGTCAGCTGGCAGCCCTTGTGTAAACAGGCAGCAGGAGTAGGGACAGGCACCCAGCTCACTGGGGCACTGACTGTTCAGCATGGGGAAACCCCAGCATCTCCACCTCCCTCTATCAACAGGCTGTTAAGATAAAGGATCAATCCCAGCAGCAGAGAGGCAGCTGTGAGCCATGAAGTTGGGCTGAGGGGCAGGTGGGGTCCCAAAAACTCAATTTGGGAGCATTGGGGAGCAGGAACTGGTGTCATCTGGCCAGCAGGTTTCATCTCACCTGCTTGGTTCCAGCAGAGTGGGATCAGCTTTGGCCACTGACATTTTCCTGGAGATTTTTTTGGCTTGCAGCATGAAAGCGGTGGCTTTTTTTGTCACTGTGTTAGCAGCCACCTCGCCTGGGCTCACGGAGGGAGGCTGGGGATAAGAAAAGGGGTGGCTACCCCTCTCTTGTTCCCCTCTTGAATCACTTTTGGGGATGCTCTGCCCCTGGAGGTAACATGCCACAGCTTCCTGACCCAGTCTCAGGCACTGCCAACCCTCTCACATCCTCTGAAAACCCAGGAGATGGGTCAGAGTGCTGGGGTTTGCTCAGATCTCCAGTGCTTACTGGAGACATGGGTGGGAGAAACCGTAGAGGCTTATTCCCAATGGGGAAGAGGCCCTGGCACATCAGGACATGTGAAACCACTCTTGGGACAGGTGTTTTGCAGAGAAGGGCTCCTTCCCTGGTTCCTGGCATGGGAAGAGTACCCAAGGACCTAGTCCTCTCTCCCAGTACTGGGAGCAGCAGCCAGGGCTGGAGCAGGAGAGTCTGGTAGCACATGGAAGAGATGAATAGTCAGGAGGGGCGATGCTGTAAGGCCAGCAAGGGGGGGAGGGATTTGCTTCCTCAATGTTTTTGTCAAGGGGAGTCTTCAAGAACCAGGTAGAGGATAAAAATTGCCTCTCCCCAGCCCTTTCCCTCCTCCCTGGGTTTCCTTCTGCAAAGCAACACCTCTGATGTGTCAGGGGCTGCAATTCAAGCAGGGTCTGGCTGATCCCTGCCCCGCACACCCCAGAGCTGCTTCCCAGGGTGCCCACCAGCCAGCCCAGTGGGACTCCTGAGTCTAAGCAGGGACTGAGGTCTGCTTTTAATCCTTGAAGCCCATCACACTGCCATGGCTCTTGGGCACAGAAGGTGATACCAGCTGCCAAAAAGGGATTAATTCTCCCTGGCATCACTTCAGACCTATGACTGGTTCAGGGAGAGCCATGGCTGGGCAAGCCAGAGATGGGGACAATGCATGGGACAAGTCCCAGAAGAGCTGGTCTCCCTTGTCCATGAACTCAGGCAGCATAAACACCCTGAGCTGCTTCCTCTCCGAGCCCAGCACTCACCTGAGCACATTTGGCCCTTGAAGCGGACACAGGAGAAGTCATCACATTCGCAGTATTTGCCTGTCACCTTCCCAAAATCACTGCTGTGACACACGCACTGCCCGCAGATGCACTCGCCACGCTGGCTGCAGAGGGGCTGGCCTGGCTTGGGGCTGCAGTTGTCCTGCTGCGAGGGGTTGTACTCCTCCTCCGAGCACTCGCAGTGCGAGCCCAGGCGCCCGGGGTTGCAGCGGCACACGCCGCACTCCAGCGTGCCATTGCCTTGGCTGCAGAATGAGCTGTTGGCCTTGGCTTGGCTCTCACAGGAGCAGTCACAGTCAAAGTTCACCACCACTGTCAGGCTGTCCTTGAAGCCCACAGGTTTGATGGTGAAGGATTTCTGCCGCTCCCGTGGGCATCCCCGCACCTTGGCCTCAATGCTGAAGCTCACCTGGAGGGCAGAGGGGTGCGTCCGGGTGTCAGTACCACCAGGATGGTATTGGGTACCCATTCCAGCGCATGCCCAAGCTTAAGGAGCCCAGAAATGGGACCTACCAGGTCTCTTTGGGCTTTTCAAAGCTGTCCCAGCACAGTTTGGGCCAGGGCACATTCCTGCCGCAGTAATCAGGCTAAATCCCACGCACTCTGGCCAGCACTCTGGGCCGAGCAAAACGACCACAGAGTTTCCAAAAAACCCATTTTCCTCCTTGCACCCACCCAGCTGGACCCGTCTCTCCACTGCAAAGATTACAGGGTCTGTGTCACCCAGGAGGTGGTGGGGCAAGCAGACAGTGCTGGTGGGGAGCATCAGACAAGCTGGCAGTGCTGCTACATAAAGGGGAAAAACCCCCAAGCCCATGAACAGGATTCTCACCGTGTCCCCAATCTTGAGTCCCACGCAAGACTTGAGCCCAGGGATGACCTCATCGTTGAGGCAGGTGGCATTGAAGGCCAGGGAGAGCTCTTCAGGGAGGTCGCGCACCTCCAGCTCCACCTTGGAACGGATTTTCTAGGAGAGGAGAGGGGAACGATGAAGACAACAGCACAGGCTGGACAGGGCTCAGTCCTGGGGAGGGGTTCCCCTGAGCACCACAGTGATGTTCCCACACACATGGGAAAGGAGCTAAGTGCCCAGAGTCTTCCTCAGGACTCGGCTACATCATTCCCTACAGGCAAGTGCCTTCAAGGGTGGGAAGAGGCAGGCAGTGAACACAGTGACCTCCCTTCCCCGGGGTCCTCACATGTGTGGGTGGAGGTAGATGCTCACAGCTGGTCCAAGGACAATGCTCAGGGCTGGGGGAGTTGCCAAATCTGTATGGGCTATTTGCATTATGAAGCAGTGGCTATTTTGGGAGGGAGAGAGGTGTTGTTGGGCCATTGCACTGCACACTCACCCCATAAGAGTCCACTATGAGCTGCAGGACATTGCTGGAGTCTCTGGACAAGGTGCCAACGGTGGTGCCTGGGATCAGCTCACTGTAGTTCTGGAGAAATATCATAAGCATGGTCTGCTCATCACAGGTGAATGTGCCACAGCGGGGCCAAACCCTGTCCAGGCACACGGGAGCTTCCCAAGGAGCTTTGACAGCACAGGAGACCACCAAGCTATGTGCAGTCACTCAAGGTAAGCTGCAAAGGGTGGTCCTCAGGACCCACCAGACCCCCAAGAAGGTGGCTTTTCACAGCAACTGTTACCTGGTAGAGGCCAACAACCGTATCTGTCACAGCAAAGATCAAGTTGATGTTCTTCTGTGATAGTTTCTCAGTCATCAGACCCAGAGAGGGATAGTCCTGGGGAAGAAGAGAGGCTATACCCTTGGAACATGTACCCCAGTCACCACCCTGGTCCTCATCATGCCCTCCAACCAGGGCTGGACCAACTTTCCAATCCCATGGGGACCCTCAACAGGAACTCTGGGCTCCACAACCCCACACATGCGTCAGGATTTACCAATGTGGTAGAGGCAGAGTAGAAGTTATCCTTGTCAATGTGGCACTGGGCATCGTTGGGCTGCACGATGCCAGCCAGCCTGCCATCCAGTGCAATGTGGGTCTTGGCATCCGTGGTGAAGACGAGTAGGTGGGAAGCATCGTTCCTCCATCCGATTTTCTCCTGCAGTGAAAGGCAGCCAGTGGTGTGGCATCATGTGCTGAGGACAGCCCTGTGTGCCAGCACCCCACTGCTGCCTTCACTGCCACCCTGGGTCATGGTTTGGCCATAGGGACCAACCTGTCACTGCAGCGGGAACCAAGGACAATCGCTCTCCCAGGGAAGTGCTGGGGGGGGTGTGTGTGCGTGGGCCATGGAGCCTGGCAGGTGGGCATGGGCTGCTTGCAAAGGCAAAAGACAGGTTTTAACTTGCCAGAGCATTAATTGAGGTTGCTAATGACTGAAGGATGCAACCCATCTCATCTCCAGCAAGGACAGGAGATGTCTCTTCTGGGCCAGTTACTGCAGGGCTGATATGGGATCATCATCAGTCCCCAAGCACTTGCTCTGCTCCTCTCTCCTCCCAGGAAACCACACAAGGGTCCTGCTCTTCCCTTGCCTCAGCTATTGACCTAGTAACGTCCTTGTTGAATGTTTACCCTGTCTGGATCTCATCCCCACAGCAGCTCCACAGGGCTTACGGTCCTGTCCTGGTGGGGCTGGGTGGTCCCTGCCAACCCACCAGGGCCAGCCTGACAGCCTTCTCCTGGCCCCAGCCAGGCCTTCTTGCCCCTTACATCACACACAGTGGCCTGGATGATGGCGTCGAAGCCGCCCTCAGGCGCGTCACGGTTCCGTGAGACATTTTGTTTCTGCACCTCCTCGTTGAAGCGGGTCACCTCATCCGTGAGTGACAAGACGTGTTTGTAGCCAAACATGGGCAGACAGGTTTCCCCGATCCTGTGGGACAAAAACAGTCAGGGCATGAGGCTCACAGGGCTCTTCCAGCTCCCATCCCCACCCTGCAGCCAACCCAAATCCCATGGTCCTGCCTGGGATGTGCTGGAGGGACCCAACCACCCCAAGAGCCTGAGGCTGGTGAAAGACCTTTTAAAAATCAATCACATGTTCTAGAGGTGCTGGGCTCAGGTCAGCTCCCAGCCTCTGTCCTGCTGAGATTTTTAGGAGTTACTTTCTTTGAGCCTCAACATCCCTCCTGAAAAAAAATGGTGTATAATTGTTTGTTTCCTTAAGAGTGACAAGGATACTTTTAGTTTAGACCTGCTCCTCCTCCCTGCACCAGCAGTGCAGCAAGGTTTAAACCCTGCCCAAAATCAGGTGCCCAACTCCCTGCTGAAATCCATTGCTACGGATTTCCAGCCACATTCCAGTGATGTTCCATTAACTTCTGATCCTTACAGGACACCCTCAGCCTGGGACTTACTCATAGCAAGGGTTTGCGATGGCTTGAGGAGGAGAGATATACATATAGGGGGAAATGGGCTTGTCCACAAAGGCTCCAAAGCCAATGCGTAGGTTGCTGGTGAGCTTGCGCATCTCGCTGGCCAGCTTGGTACCCAGGTACTGGATGTTCCTCAGATCATCCTTCATGGAGTTGGACAGGTCCATCAGGTAGTAGATGTCCACAGGGTAGTCTTCCACTTGACGCACTTGGACACGAAAAATCTGGGAGTCATCTGTAACATGACAGGGCAACAGAGTGAGAGATTCTCCCCTGGGAGGAGCAAAGGGGGCTCATCTCAGGGCTAGGGAGAAAGTCAGCCTATGGGGGCAGCAGGAACCCAAGGAGATGGATTAAAGGTGCTGGGAGGAGACTATCACAGTTAAACAGACACAAAAAGACAAAGCCCTTATGGCAGGGTGCCTGCATGGGAGATATGCTGTGCACCCCTTGGAGGTGGCAAGTGTGGCTTATGGTTCCTGTTCTCCAAACCTCTCATTACCAGGAGATTAGCAGATCCTCCTGCTCAGAGCTGACCCCCCGCAAGCTGTCCTGCACTAACAGTGTTACCAACACATGCTGGATGGAGCAAGTGAAACCTAGTGTACGGGCAGCAGGTCTTGCAGGGATTACTGGGGGCTGCATAGCTGCTTCAGGCTTCTCTGGGTTCCTGAGGCCCCTGAACATCTCCCAGGGCCTCCCCCATCCCTATTCCTTCCCTCTCCTCTTGGCTCCTTCCAGTCCCTTCTGGGAAACTTTTGGTGAAACATTTTCCATTGAAACAAAAACCTCCTTAGACAGAACATTCTGGGGAACAGGCCAGTTTTGATGACTTTTGTACTTAAAAAAAAAAGCACTGAAAACACTTTGGGTTGACCTTTTCTTTCTGCTTTTTAAGAGACAAAGGTTCTTTCTTGCTGTTCTTTGAACTGTAAGCTGGGGCACAGCTGCAGCCTTCTCAGAACACCTCAAATGTTGAGGAAAAAAGCTTTAATTGAGCTTAAATTGTTATTGTTTTCATATTTCCTTCTAAAACTGCATGTCAGAGTCTGACTTTCTGTCTGGAGAAAGTTTCAAAATCTACAAGACCCCAAAGAGCTCCATCCCCCCTGCAGCTGCACCACTGGAGCACCACCACATTGTCAAGGGTCCCAACTTTGTGCTCAGAGGACATCTGTTTCTCCTTGTTGAGCTCAAACCACGAGGACTCTGAGCTTGTGGGACACGAGCTGTGACCTGTCCTTCAGCAGTTGGTCTTGATTCATGAGTCAAGGCAGATGACTCATGCCAAGCTTTGTAGGTTGGGCAGAGATGATATCAACCGGGGTTTTCTTTTACTGCTTCCAAGGAACAGTAACTTAATGACACTGCACACTGCCCCTGTTCCTCTCCAGAGCAGCACACCTAGCTGCCTCCTGCCAAATACCTTCAGACCTAAATAGAGGAATGGCTATGCAGCAGCTATGTGTCCCCATTGCACAGGAATGCTTCAGACTACTGTCATTCAGACAAGTCAGGACTCCTCTTGCCCAGGCCCAGGGATGTGAACAGCATGCCACGTGCTATCAGCCACTGATATCTGGCCCCAGGCCTTTAACGAGCACAAGGAACCAAAATTTGTTCCTGCCAAGACTGGAATAGTCATCATGAGTGGATGGCCGGGGACAGGCTATGCACAGTGCAGAGCACAGCCACGGTGACACCACCATTCACTCCCTGTTCCCCAACTGGTTTTGTGACCTTGGGCAAGTGATGCCCATTAGTTTTGCCTCCTGCCTGGCATCACTTGAAACTCCTCAATACTGGCAAATGACCATAACAGTTAATTGGCTCCAACCTGCCTGGCTGAAACGAGCCTGGGAAATTACAGGAGCCTGTTGGCAGTCCAACCCTGCCAGCTGCTTTGCGGCTTGTTAGACAAGCTGACTTCTACTAAAGCATTCAGAGTACAGGAGCAGTGGCTAAGGTCTAAATGACTTTATAAAATGAGCCCGTGCTTTGTTGAAGTCGCATCCCATCCTGCCCCTTGGGGTACCACGGGATTAAGGCAAGAGACTGAACTGCAGAATGCAGCTTGCAGACAGCCTGGCTGCCCATCAGCGGTGTTCCCACAGTGTTTGACGCAGCCCTTGGCCTTGCTTCCAGTGGACGTGAGAAAGCCTTGGCCAGCAAGGCAGAGTGATAGTTCACTCATTGCTTGAGCCCTTTGGGTTATTCCCACTGTACTTCCCCTTCCCACAGCAGTTTGGGGGCTCTTACCCGGCCTCAGGTTCAGTTGTATTTTCTGGGGGCTCATCTGTGTGGTGGTGGAGCTCCCTGAGCCCTTGTCACTGAGGGGTTGGTCCTCCAGGATGGTTACGGTGCTGGTGGGAAACTCAATATATTCCTGCCTGCAACTTTTTTGCAGGTTTGCAAGCAGGTCACAGCGAGGGGATGATTGCATCTGTGGGAGAGGGACACGGTCAGGAGCCAGTTCCCCCAGAAAGAAATCTGGGTTATCCCAGGAGAAGGATGGAGGGCCCCCTTTTCCCTGGAGACCCCCCTGCTTTATCACACCTACTGCAAGACCAGGCTAAGAGGCTTTTTGGGGCACACAGTCTCTGCTCAAGGGAGGTAGCAGACAGGGGATCCAGGATCAGCAAGTCCTGCTGGGGTTCAGAGCAGGTTTTGGTCTGCTGTGCTCCACATGGGAGCTCAAGAACCCCTACCAAGACAGAGCAATGGATAACACATCCCTGCCAAACCCCTTCCCGACTCCTAGCAGCTGGAGCCTCAGGTTTGGTTTTTGGCAAAGCTAAAAGGAGAGCCCATGTATGTTAGATAGCTAGGAGAGGGTGAGGTGGGATGTGAACATGGTAGGCTGGGGGTGAAGGGTAGAGTCTGGGCTCTTTTTATTATTTTATAAACTTTGGCAAAATACAAGCCACCTTTTCCCTCCCCATTTTCTCAACACATGCTCTTAGAAATCTCGCTGTGAGCAAGGAACAACCCTGCTGCGGATGAGCCTGTCGCACACAGTGGCACTCGGTTCCTGTCCAAGAATGGTTCAGGCTTATCTCTAGCTCTCCAGCTTCCTGCCAGATGGAGCCAGCCAGGGGAAAGGAGAACCAAAAAAGGAGTGAAAGAGCAATGGGGCTGTGGATGAAGCTGTCATTTGCCTGTCAGGGCCAGGAAGCTCAAACTGTGGAGTCATGGTGGGGCTTTAGCCCCATCCCTCTTTTCCTAGAAAGCTCCCAGCTGCTCACCCTTATCACGGCACATTCAGAAGGGCTCTCATCACTTTGGTTTCTCATAAAGACAAATATGGGAAGAATTTGTTTCACAGCCCAACACTGCCAGGATCTGCCGCTGCACATTCCCAGCGGGGCAGCGGCCACCCTCCCCTCCAAGCATTTTCCTCTATCTCCCACCTACAGCTCAAACCTTTCTACATTCAAAGTCTTGCAGCAGACCAGCACAGCCTTTACCTGCAGCAAAGCAGGGTGGCACAAGTCCTGGTGCAGCTGGTTCAGCTCCCTCCCTGCTCCTCAGAGGCTGGACCCAACACTGCAGCCTCCCAGTACTGGAGAGGTTCCCCATCCAGGATATCAGTTCCTCCAGGTTCAGGCTGGTTGAACCCAGGAATGAATTTGCACATTTTAAGCAAACAAGTGGAAAAGCGCAAACGGTGTCAGGCGGCCCTGGCTGGCCCACAGCCTTCTGGAAACAGCAGCCAAGCGATAGCCAGAAAATACATCAGCAGGCGTGTTCCTCCCCCATGGCCTCCCGCTCCCACCCTCACTGCCTGGAGAGCGTGCTGTCTGTGAAGACATCCCTCTAAACTAGCTCCCTTGCACCCACCCTGCAGGCTTGTCCCACCGGGATCCCCACTGTGGGAAGAAGTGCCTGGTTTATTCCAGATCCCATCAATCATCACATACATTCCTGTGCTGGGCAGGGAAATCACTGGAAAGATACACAGGTGAAAAGCAGGCTTGGCAGACAGGTTTTTAACTGTGGCACTGGGTGATACCTGAGATCCAGAGGGATTCCCAGGCCCTCAAAGGACACATGACACCTTATGGGATTAATTGCATCATTCCCACTGCAAGATTTCCATGGAGAAGCTATTTAACCTTATGGCTACATCCTTCCCTTTTCCCTGGAGCCCTAAACATCACGACTGACTCAGGACTTACAGGAGCCTCCCCAGCAACAAAATTACTGCAGAAGGCAAAGGAAAAAAAATTACTGATGGGGCATTTGGCTACAAGGCCCTTGCAGCCCGCAGTCTATCCCCCCCCCCCCCCCCCCAGGTCTCTGTAGACTTGCCCACAGCCCTTGGCTGAGATGCTCCCCAGCTCCACCTCCCCTTTGATCACCTCTGTCCTGCTGCAGGGAAGGAGCTTTCAGCTCAAGGTCCCTCCAGGACAGGAAACTTGATGAGTTTATCCCCTGACTGCTGTGAGTACAGGGTCAGGCAGAGCCATCTCCAACCCTGAGCTCCTCCCTGCTGGGCAGGGAGGCTATGGGAAGTCACACATCCCCACAGCATCTCCATTTTCATCTCACAGGCAACCACATACAGCATCAGCTCCTCTGCAGGAGAGCTCCTGGGAAGACCCAAAGAACAGATGCCTCTGCAGATTAAGCTAAAACTTTCCAGTAGGTTCTTTGAATTAAACCCTGGTCTAGCCTTGCCTCCATGCGAATCAGAGCAGGTGACATTTTAGGTGGATGAGACCCTTGAAGATCTGCCACAATAATCTCCACAGTGATTTTAGAGCCACTTCTCAATGTTAAGACTTGGCCGACTTTTCCAAAAGGAAAAGTGAGTGGATAGGCACATCTTTGTTGGTAGGAGTGGTCAAGGTCTCTGAAAAATAAATAAAATGCAATTCTCCTCTACATCAGCACCTGGTGGATCAGCGATCACAAGAAACTGCAACAAGATCCTTCTGTGCAAAGCCAGGATGGAGCAGGAGTAACTGATAACCCCTGGCTCCTGAGGAAGGCAGTGTGTGGGGGATAGGGCTGCAGTGGGGGCAAAAGGAGCACACATAAGGGCACTATCCCTTTAAAAGAAAAGGGGGGCACAGTATCAGAGACCTCCCCACCCCAGGGAAATTAAACAAACCCACAGAAAACACCCTCATTTGCTAAATTAAGACAATGTGGTCCAGATGTTGGAGGCAGAGTTACCAAGCAGAGCTTGCACAGCCTGGCTCTCCAGAGGCTGGTTGCTGGCAACAGAACAGCTCCCTCACTGCTTGTCACGTCCGTTCATGAGCACAACCCTGAGCAGCACTGGAAATATTTCCTTTTTTGGAAACCTTTGCTGATCTGGAGAAAAAGCCCAACCCCATCACAGCCCCCGCTGCAGCATCAAGACACCAGCCCGGCCCAGGAAGGCGGCTGGGAAGGAGGGAGCCCAGCCCAGCTGGCCATTCTCCCGCCAGAGAGGGGAGCGAGGCCCCTTATCACACTACAAGTTCAGCCACTCCTTGCGGGAGATAAAACGGGGCACAAACATCTTTATTCACACTGAGAGCCTCAGTGTCTGATGGGCACAGCAAGCAGAGGCATCCCTTCCAGATACACACTGACCCCAAAGCATCAAGCCATACAGACATAACCCAACAGCATTTTCCAGCTTGGATCACTTTTTCCCAGGTCTTTTCCCAGTCCTGGTGGGCACCATGGGCAGAGCCACAGCTGGAGGAAGCAGGGTTTCCCAGATGGAGAAGCAGAGAGCAAGAAAAATCTTGCCAGAAGGGGAAGCTCCTGGCTGCAAAGCCCCAAAGGAGATTTCATCACCTGTCCCCATCCCAGCCTCACCTTGTCTCAGTCCTGGTCTGCTCTCCCATCCCATCCTGCCAGGAAACTCCCTCCTCCTACCTCCCAGACAGACTAACCCCCAGGGCAGCATTTTTGGAGGGGAGCACAACAGAACTTCCAGGTTCTCACCTACCCAAACAGGGTGATTTTTAGAGCCACAGCTCAGCTCTTACATCCTAAGTAATCAAAGCCATGCCCCTTGTGTTCCTTCCCCCCTCTTTCCAATGAAAAAAAAAGGCTTTAAACCCAAACCCTAACTTCTAATCAGTATTTGCTCTTCCTCCCTCCAGGCCCCCTTTCCCGCCCTTGCAGCAATTAAGCTCTTTTAGAGAGTTACAATGGGTTTTCAAGAAGCAAACCAAAAGTAAACTAAGTTTTCAAATGTACATTTTTTTGAAAGACAAAGTGAATTCCAGGTGGAAACATCAGCATGTCCCAGCCAGCTCAATGTAGCCCCCACCAACAGACCCAGATAAGGGGCAGATTTTCAGAGCAAGTCAGGAACAGGCAGCTCAAGCCCCATGATATGTCTCAAGCCATGGTCAGAGCCAGATGCCACCAAGGAATGTGTTTAGACACAGTGGGAACAAGTACAGACCAAGCTTATGGCTGTAATACAGGAACCAGCATCCATCCCACAGTCCAAAGGGTCGTGCCTTCCTGCACATCCCCTGTCCTGCTCAGGGACACGCTTCAGCCCTGCTCAGCCTCTCCCTGCTCTTACCTCCATGGAGCACCAAGCACAGAGGGGGCTCACAGCCAGGCACTGCTTGCAGGAGTTCACCCCACGGGTGGTGCAGATGTTACCCCCTGAAACAGCAAAACAGAGAGCAGTTTCAGCCTGCAGAGCCCAAAATCCACACATGTGCTGAAGCATCAGTGCTCAGCCAGCAGCTTCATGAGCAGCTGCAGCCCCCATCTCAGCAGAGCTCTACTCTAACCCCTTTCCCAGCCCTAAATTCCAAGTACTGCCTCCTTGCCCCTTTTATAGCAATCTCCCCAGCCCAGTATCAGCTGGGCTTCATCCTGCCCAGGACTGAGCATCATTTCTCACCTGCCAGCTCCTTAAAGGGTCCCCCCACACCTGCAACATTGCACACATGTCGGAGTGAAGCCCCCGTCACTGGTAGGCGGGATCATCTCCCCTTGTGCCTCCCTGCAGACATTTTGGGGTAGCGGGGAGGGAGAAGGGGTGAATTCCCAGTGGCACAGTGCAGTACCCACAGCCCTGCCAGCAGCCAGGGAACTGCTGCCTCTTCCCACCACCCCCGACCTAGCGTGGTCGGTGCTTTCTTTGCAGACGCTAAACTCGGTGGCTGGTCTTGGCTCAGGTTCAAACCTGGGGAAAGGGGGGGGAGGGAAAGGGCACAAGTCCAGAAACGTGCTAGCAGTGGTTTGCACCGATGCCCCAGGCCAAGGTTGGGCTCTGTCAGTGGAAGTGGCAGTGGGGACTTTGGGAGATGCGCGCTAGCACCAGTTGTGATGGTCAGAGGCCAGCAGGTCCGTGTGGGGGATTAAAAGGCCCCAAAATGCCCGCAGGGGCCCCAGGGCAGCGCCAGTGCCTGCCGGGGCAGAGTTGCTCCTCTGGCAGAGGCAGGACTCTGCGGCTCTGCGGTTCCCACTGCCAACAGCAGAAGTGGTGAGCAGCTGGGGGCATGCCTGTGGTGGTGTCACCCTCGGCTCTTCCTCCCTCCCAGGGCACAAGCGTCTCGGCAGAGTTGTAGGATTTCCTAGCAGAGCAGACCGCAGCCGTGTGCCTGCCTGGCTGGGGGAACGCTGCAGTCCGGGGAGCCTGGGGGGGTGATGCCATGGAGCAGCAGGTGCTAGGGTCTCCCCTTTGCCCCATGTCCCCCAGTCCCTGCCCAGAGCTCTCCCCAGCAACCACAGGCAGAAAAAGCGGCGTTTTCTGTAGCTGCAGGAAATGCAACACAAAGCAGAAAGAGGAAACAGTGAAACGATGTTGTCAGGTCTTTGGGCAGAACCACAGCAACAGCACTGTGCACTCATGTCTGCTGGCACGCAGCCTGGGAGCGCAACTGTGCGTGTGTGTGTGTGTGTGTGCGCACGCAGAGCGGCCATGCATGCAGCGTGTCGTGGATGTGCGTGTCTGTACGAGGGTGGTGTCGCAGGCTGAGCTGGACGTGCTGCGGCTGTCCCAAAGGCCAACGGCTGCTCGGGGATGTGCCCTGGGGCACCAGGGCTGGTGTGCCCCCTCGGACCTCTACCACCTGCACCCCCTGCTCATCCCTTGCAGGAGGACTAAACTAAAGGCTAAACCCCAACTGCCTGGCTCAGCACCAGTTTTGGGGTGGCATCTGCTCTTGGAGCTTTTGCTGTACACTACAATACCCGGCAGCAGCATGTGATGATGGGAAAGACTTTAAATTTAGCATTGCCCAAAAGAGCGACAGGTCGATCTCCAGTGCTTTCTGCACCAAGGCCACTTAGCAATGTGTTAACAGCAGTATTGCCTCCTGAGGCGGAGGAGTCCAGATAGCCGCGACTGAGTAGGGAGACGGCAAAGGGCTCTCAGAACACAGCAGCAGCACCA